TAGGTTTTTTAAATTGTAACAATGTTTATGGAGAGCCACAGGTTGATTAGTTTTGAACTGTTGTCACCCTCTTTAAATGAAGTTTAATTGATCGATTGATTGATTGATTGATGATAACTTGTTTGCCAATGATTGTACATTTGCTTGATGCCATTATTGTAACTGAAACTGAAAAAGAATGGTAGTGTCAACCCATTAAAGTGGAAGTGCTGCCCTGAAAATCCTGTTGTCAGCCACCTTAAAAGCTCTCATCCTGGTCCCTACTGGCTCTAACTAAAAGGCTTATCATAAGCTATCTAGGATAATTTAGGTAGCCTGCTCACAGACTTTCTGATTTCCTTAAGAATCGGCAAGTGCACGAGCAAAATAAAAACGGCGGGAAATTGAACGAGGTCAACGCGGAGAGGTTGGGCGGGGGGAGGAAAGAGGAGGGTGAAGAGAATTATTATTTTTGTGTTTTATACTTTCCACGATCGCTCTCTCGTTTCGTCCTCCCTCTGGCCGGCGTAGTCGAAGCACGTTGGTTCGACTCCATGCTAACGGCCGTTTTAGCCTGAAATAGCGTGTAGGATTTTGGACATTTTGACTTCAACATTTGCTCTTCATCATTATCATTTGCTTGAAGACCGTGGCAACAAACGAAAGCAAGCGAAAGGACGGACGCTTACATTAAGTAATGGTCTAAAGAGCGATTTTCACTTCAGTGTCGAAAAACCGAAACCAAACCAACTACTTACCAATTAGACTACTCAGCCAATCTCAAACCGTAGTAAAACCAAAACAAAAACCAAAACCAAGGTAATTGCCTGATTACGTTCGATACTCAATTGAAAACCGCTAAAAGGCAGCAACTATTAATGCAAAGTGTAATCTGTCCAGATTAGACGAGGACTGAATATAAGCACAGTTAATAGAGGGAAATGGTTATGAAACTGGACAAATTTCTTTGCTGTAGGTTTTTGTTCACTGTTTTGGTCTCATGTTGACCGAGCCAAAACACAATAGTAGTTTACTCCGTACTGAGGAACTAACCAATGGAAACGTTTTGGTTACGTAATTCGTGCATATGGTGTATGAGCACAAAACAAAAGACTGTGCACGGTCGTGGACCTACCAATATATATCTTGGCATCTTTGTTTGTTCCTTTGACGTTTGCCCTGCTCGCGTAACTATTTCACTTTTTTAACAATGATGTAAGCCAGAAAGGCATAAAGGTAGCAAAAAAGTGAGGTATGATTCAATAAAAAAAACCAGGCAATGACAAAACTCACTGGCAAGCATATCCGGAGATCTAGAACAGGGAGAAAGACGGCGTGATTTGTACACCATTTGGACGGTTCCTTTCCTACCGCCTCGATCTTTCTTGAAGTCTTGGTGTGATGATCTCCCAGAACGAAGCCGGTACACAAGCACGAGTAAAGCAGTTGTTAACCTACTATTTCAACGTCAACTCAGAATAATTATAAATATTAGTACGCTGGACAAAACTGTTCTAGATCGACGTTTTACAAATTAAAGCAAGTAAAGCTACGCAAATAATTTTGTGATTGTCTTAAATTCCGCACGTGGAAAGTTATTTTCGGAAGACTTGCATGCGTTACAGCGTATCCATATTTGGTAACTTAATCACTAGATTTCTGAGGAAAAAAAAAGGCACATTGAAGTGTTGTTTTTCGAAGAAAATCGTTGCGTGTTTGTGTATTTCTTGTCAAGAATATGACAAGAAAGCATGAGAAAGACTTACAACTTATTTGGCCACTGAAACACGATAATGTCTTCAGACAATGATCTTCTTTAAAGTCTTTGAACTGTTCCTGTCGCTAGATCGGTCTTCTTCCACCTATTTTGAAGATGGTAGTCAATGACTTCCGCTTCGTACAAACCACAATTGCACAAAATGATTCTATGTTACTAGTAAAAGCAGGTTATACTCACTCCTTTGGCCTCGGAAGCGGCGAAAAATGAAAAAAATGGTCGCCTTAATACAGAGGCCCTCTTAAAAGGCTAAAACAAGTTAATAAAAAAGATATATTCTTCTTGCCCTGCAGAGGAGCTTGGTTGCGATCTATGAATTTATTTGCCAATTTTTTTCTCTCGAAAATACTGGGGTTAACGACAGCCTTGTGAGTTCCGTTCTGAAAATGCAACTTCAAGTTTTTCGTGCCTCTTTTCCTCCCATTCAGAGAAAGAGAGAGAGGGGAGGGAAGATGGGGGATTCAAGCGTCACATATACTTTTAGCTACTTCAGGTTAAGACATCATTTCGTAGAACACAAAGGCGTCTTCAAACTGTTCGTGATATCAGTCGCTATGACTATTTGCTCAGTTAAAACTGCTTTTTTCAAAACATGGCAGCTTACTTTGTGTGAAGGAATAAATTGCTTAAAACGATAACAGGAATTTTCTAGAATTTTAGAAATGTTTCCTGAAATTGAGAGTAAAATTCGAGCCTAACAGTAGGACTATAAACCTGTATGTATAGTTGTCCTTCTTTCGATGTTTATTGTGAAACAGAGAAATGGCGACACTGACACCTTGTAGAGAAAGTCAGTCTTTGGTAGTATAACCATCTGCTCTGCTAGTTAAACTGTTTTACCAAATTAATTGTTCATGGATGACATGTTTGACAAATTAGGATGCATGAATTTTGCTCAAGGTATTCCAGCTGGGAGTTAAACTCACGGCTACAGATAATATCCTATTCCACAACACTCACACTCATGCTCAGTGATGTTAAGGGGTGGGGAAAATATTGTTCAGCGGGCTAAGCCAAGTTGTTACAACTTGGCTTAGGGGAGGTGCCAAAATTACGACCCACGTGAGTCCGGGTGGGAGGGCGGAACGTTCGCCAGCACACCCGCTGAAAACTGAGCTAAAATGTGAAGTTGTTTGGCGGGTTTCCAGTATTTATTGCATTCCAGGCGCGCAATCTTACGTAATCCAATTGTTTAACTATGAATAGGAGGTTATGTAAAATTAATTCCACTTTGCATATCTTTATGAGTGTTTTGAATAGCAACGCTGCACAAAAGTAATGACCACAACAAACTTTTCCGGAGACGAATTCGGAAAGCAGAACATTTTTTCTTTACAAATACACTGCTTACCAGATTTAAATACTGGAATATATGGACAGCTCACTTTGATCTCAGTTTTAAACTCTTCTCTTTCCATGAAGGCATTTTTTGGTAATCGTTTCGTCCTAGTCACTCTTAGCAAGGAGTCTTCACTTCATCCGCCGTCCAAACTCTTGCTTCGTAACCTCGCCGCAACTGATCATTGTGTTGGCCTTATTTCACAGCCTCTCTATGCTGCTTTGTTGCTGACTGCTCTGAATGAACATTGGAATGCTTGTCGCTTCGTAGCAGTCGTAGTTTCTATAACAAGCTCTATTCTGTGTTAAGTGTCTTTGTTGACACTGACCGCAATGAGTGTGGACAGACTTCTCGCCCTTTTGTTGGGGCTTAGATACAGACAGGTTGTAACTTTGAGGCGAGCTTACGGAACCGTTATTGCCTTTTGGGCTGTGTCTACTGCCTCTTCAACAATCAGGCTCTATTTAAATTCCCTTCTAAGGTCATGGTGCGAAATTACAGTTATATCACTGTGTCTAGTAACCTCGACCTTCAGTTATACCATGATTTTCATTAACCTCCGTCATTATCAAAATCAACTTTGCGATACAGAAAGGTAGTGTCCACTGCACTGTGGTTGCAGTTCACGTTAGTCGCTTGCTATCTTCCGTACCCTGATATCCTGCTTTACGTACATTAATCTAATGACTCCCGCCCCTGTCCGTCCTGCTCCTGTGCCCAGCTAGGAAGGAGACTCATAACAGATCCCCGTAACAGATCCTCGTCATTGAGCTTCTCAATCAATAGGCTTTTTCTGTTGTTTTAAAATAATCTGTATTCAGCCCTGCTTGTCTTGCTCACCTCTTCTGGCAGCTTCCGCCACAACTCAAACGCAAATTTACGTTTGCCCGTTCGCTCAGAAATCCCAGAAAGTATTTATCACTTAATAAATGAAAATATTGCGCTTTGCATTTCTCTCCTGCCTCCCGCTCCCTATTCTCCCGGGACCCTGCCCCTGTCCCAATTCTGCCCACACTGAATTAGTTTTTCCTAAAGGGCTTTCAAGGATACACTTTCTAAACTTTTTTGCGGAGGCGTAAAGCATGTCTTTAATATTGCTTAACACACAACACTGTTCTATTTATGGTTCGGTAAACGTTACGTTTATTCTACAATCACCCTTTTTCTAAGCAACATTTATCAGTTGTTTTATCAATCTTGAGATAAAGAACTAAAATTACTTCCAGTTCAAAGTACAGAAGGAAGACCATGATATACTAAAATTAGATGGTTTTAACGGGCTCGAAGTAATCTAACAGCAATCAGTATTTGCTAACCTATAAGGCCTCACCTTGAAAACGACAATTACAGTGTAAATAAGTATAACCTATTTGAAGACGATGATAAAACTGCGCATTTTCGACACAAAGTCTTACAAGTTATAATCTATCTCATTTTCAAAATCTCAAGTTTACAGTGACGACACACAAAAGACGACTATGTTACTGAAGAACTTCTAACTTAAAAAAGTAGTCCCTGCAAGAAGTTTAAAATGTCGATAACTAAAATAACGAAAACAAAAATTAATATTTCTCAGATCCTTCAGTTGACATTAAGTAAACTCAAAATTCAAGTTGAAAATCCAGCTTGTTAGAAAAAAGTTACGGTAGATGAAATGACTAGCACTGCGTTACTACTATTGTCACTATTTTAATGTTGTGATACCAAATAAAAGTTGGACCTATTTTTCCAAAAGCAGGATTTTTTTCCTCCTTTCTTCTGGTCAAGATTGTAAGAAGTCTTTCACTCTTGCGAGAAAGGAAATTGTCATTCACATTATAAAGCTACTAAAAGTGTTTGATTTTCATAGTTTTAATGCTACTACCCAAAAACATAAAAGAGCTGGGACGGAACCTTTTTATGGCAGAAGTTCTTGTCTTATGAGTTTAGCACTGGGCAGTACTCGCCTAGCATGACCGAGCTATATTAACTGAGCCAACCAAGATGGTTCTCAGGGGTCAAACACACAGTTTGTTGATCGTTCACACGTTGACCAGATAGTTTCCCACCGCCCAGGAGATGTCAATCCCTTTGGCCATTTTCAGAACGGTGTTTGCTGCGTAGACGAACTGCTGTAGGGCATTGCACCTGAATCGCTCTTGGTATGGTGTCTGATTCTTGTCATGGTACACAAAGAACAGGACATTATCCTGTGTGCCATACTGCAGCCTGGAATCTATTTTCAGCTTCTGTGGTATATCGTATCCACCCTGAATGTAAACTGGCACACTGTTACCGTTGCCGGTGGTGTAGTCGCACAGGACATAGTTTTGACTTCTGTCTCCACCAAATCCAACGAATGAGCCCTGCTTCCAGTTGACGGTGACCGTTTGTCCCCTGCTCTTGAGCGTTAGGGTTTCGCCTTTCAAAGAACCCATTGTAGCGGATTCTAATATGATAAAATAAAGAAATAGATAATCAACCGCCGTTAGTAACGATTTCGATATTGTATTTTCGAAATAACTTTCTGATCTGTACAATATGTTAGCGCTCACTGTCAGCGTTAGTCAACGGCGTTCTCAGTATACCACAGTTAGCTTGTTACCCATGTTCATTCAACGCTATGATACTATGATGATAAAATTAATATAGTGGCATCAAATGTAGTTTTCCGGGAGCAAATGCGGTCAACATATGAAAACATAAGTTATACACCAGAATTTGCGAGGCTCAAGAAACTTACAGCAGTTGAACACAGAGTTATGGCGATAAATAGTCACGAAATCCATGAAAAGAAGTGTTGATCAGAAAGATAAAGCACAATTTTCAGTTCGCATCAGTTTTTTCATTCCGGTTCGGTATTAACAATCGCCAAACTGCTAAAGGATTGCAAGTGTACGCAGCTTTAGCTTTGACTGAGAAGACAAGGCTCTAAATAACTGCTCGATCTGTTTTTACTTGCTACCTTTCTTCTAGCTTGTGAACGGCAGAAAAATTGAGTTCCAAGAAGGATCAAATTTGCCTTTTACAAAATGTATTTAAAATAAAAATGATAATCAAAGACGTGCGTAGTAACCGAGGAAACTGAAACGGCAACGAAAAGGAACTCGGAAAAACATCGAAGATCGAACTGGCAAAAAGATGGAACGAAAATGAAATCGGCTGTTGATGAGTAATGTGATAAAACACGAATGTATATCGTAAATAACGAAAGACGATAAGCAAACTAAGGGTTTTTGATCTATAGACCTTCCTCGCTTATTTTGAAAATTTCTAACTAGTCGAAATGAGATTTTACTAGGTTTTTAGTCAATGCAAGTCATAAGAGTAAGAAATACTTCATCAGAATTTAATACGACAAATAAAGTTAACCTGCATCTGTTTCACTTATTATAACAAGACTACATTCGTTGTGGAGTTTTTTCCCTAAAACTGTGCTCGTTTGGTATAACGGACTTTTGGTGTCATTTTAAGTTTAAAAGGTACTTACAAGTTTGTAGAAAGCAATGCAGGTGAAAATTGACGTGCCTTGAAAGAAGAAAAAGAAAAAAACTGTTAGATTAATTTCCAGCAGCAGATTTGCGGAATATATCTCCCTAGACGGGACAAAGACATTACCAACAAATAGCTAGTTATCAAAGATCAGTTCCATACCTTTGAAGGTTCCAGTGAACGATGACTAGTGGAAGAAGACGTTAGAACTTAAATAGTTCCAAGAAGGACTCAAACGTCACCGTGTCAATCAATATATGGGCGGGACTAGAAAGAACACATGAATCAATAGCTTCCTTTGCTATCTTTGTTTGATGTGTTTTTTCCTTTTGGAAGTTTGGTCTCATAGTTGTAAATTGCTCCTTGATGGCTCAAATAATGCCAAGAATTTACGCAAATCGAAAGAAAGGCGGAGTTAGTTCGATGACTGGAATGAGTACTTTGTAAACCGCCTCTTCGGGATGTTTGATCTCGAGATCGGAATTTGTTCCTCAAGCGTCAGAATAAAGGTC